TAAAAAATAACACACAAAAAAAGAAAAACTAATAATGCGAGCTTTTTATAACATTTTTCGGTAGAATGGCAGTCTCCACCCTGTAACGCAGAGAGGCAGTTAAATTCCTTGATCTCCTGCCGCAGAATCATCATCATTATTAAATAGATTCAAATAATCGCTCCGATTACAAATAAGCTACTGCACCACCATCGCTAGCTGTGGAGGGCGCCCGTAGGGCGCCCGCAGCAGTTAGTATTTCAAAATTTACGGAAAAGTACGACAAATAAAATGGACAGTGTTTTGTTCCAATTGATAATACAGCATTTGAAGATATACTAGGGTTGAAAAAAAATTGGTTTTTAAGGAACTATGACAAATGACATTATTGCAAATTTAAGTTACCTTTTATGGCATATTTCCAAAGAATGCAATTTTTGGAGAATTTCAGCGCAAACTGTCTCTCAATATCATTATTCGTTCAAAAGATATGGGAATCAATGTTTTTCAACTTGGCAACGCTACTACGCGGAAATAAATTCATTTCAGGACTTGCAATTTTGGAAAAAGACATATCCTGTAGTAACGAATAACATACTGCCACGGTTCGTCTCAGAAGGAGGTAAATGGAACTGTGTTGCCCATTCAAAATTCCTTCGGAATCTGAAAATGAGATGCTTACACAGTCATTTAAGCCTAAAATGGAAATATTCTGTCGAGCTCTACGAAAATTAAATCGGTTTTTGTGTTTTTGGCGCTAGAATGGCCTTCAAAGACGATCGACGAATAAATTCCGATGGGGTGTGCATATGTAAAATGATAAAAGCATAATGAAATGTATGTATTTCTGGACCAGGAATCGATTGAGCAGGGTTCCGAAATGCTCCGACGCTTCATTTGCCGAAAATTGGGCTTTTTTTTTAGTGTTGGGGTGTTTTGGGCCCATTTTTTCACAGTTTTGGCGTGAGAAAACCTGTGCCGTCATGGGTCATTATCAGGTCGTTTCGGGCGGACCATCGAATGCACTTGGTCCCGAGACACTTGATATAGGGTTTTCGAGATGCGGGGGATCAAAGTCCCCGATTTCCATTAAATTCTGCAGGTATTTTAATGCTCAATTCCGAATATAAATTGTTTTCTGATTTAGATATCAAAGCGCGTTTTGCGGTGGTTGATTCAGCTACATGTGGTGGATTTTTCTATATATTTCACAAACCCTCACTTTGTTCTGGTGGGGGGGGGGGGGGGTGTCTTTTTCTATACAGGGTGTGCACAAGGTGTGGGTATTTGTTAATACCTCAAGAATGGTTGTAGATATTGACTTACGGTTTGAACGAAACTTCCTTGCATTAAAGTAGGTACATTTTTGGTAAGGGATCATGACCCCCCTCGCCCTCCAGGGGTTGGGGATAAAGGGCAACTTTCGAATCTCGAATGGGAACCCCCATCGTGTGATACCTCGTTAGAAAGAACTTGAAAAAAGACAATTATTCGCGGTAATTGCAGGTTGCCATTTATCACCGTCACAAAGTGGCGGCTGGATCAAGTTCAAAATGGCGGAAAATTGATATCTTGATCGTTAAGCGGTGGATTTTGATGTAACTCAGTAACCAGGGGTATGTTTTTCAGGAAAAGTACAAATCTGACATCAGAATACAAAAAATATGACAATGTTTTATAATTGGCAGGCTCTCAAATGGCGGTCATATCGATTTTTTCGAGAAGTTGAACCTACTACCCACCTCCCTGGGGGACAAAGGGATCATAACTCCTCACCAAAAATGTTACTACCTCGAGAACGGTCGCAGATATTGACTTACGGTTTGAACGAAACTTCCTTGAATTAAAGTAGGTACATTTTTGGTGTAGAGTTATGACCCCCTTGCCCCCCAGGAAGGTATCACGGTGGTAGGTTCAAGTTCTCGAAAAAACCGATATGACCTCCTTTTGAAAGCCTGCCAATTATAAAACATCGCAATATTTTTTGTTCTCTGATGTCAGATTCGTACTTTTCCTGAAAAAAATACCCCTGGTTACTGAGTTTCATCAAAATCCACCGCTTAACGATCAAGATATCAATTTTCCGCCATTTTGAACTTGATCCAGCCGCCATTTTGTGACGGTGATAAATGGCAAACTGCAATTACCGCGAATAATTGTCTTTTTTCAAGTTCTTTCTAACGAGGTATCACACGATGGGGGTTCCCACTCGAGATTCGAAAGTTGCCCTTTATCCCCAACCCCGGGGGGGCGAGGGGGGTCATAATCCCTTAACAAAAATGTACCTACTTTAATGCAAGGAAGTTCCGTCCAAACCGTAAGTCAGTAGGCCATTCCAGGGCCCAAAACACAAAAATCGATTTGATTTTTGAAGAGGTAGACAGAATATTTCAATCTTAGGCTTAAATGACTGTGTACGCATCTCATTTTAAGATCCCGAAGGAATTTTGAATGGACAACACAGTTTCATTTAACTCCCTCTAAGACAAACCGTGACTGAGAATTGGTCAAAATCCAAAGGGGGGGGGGGGCCCACTGATTTTGCATACACCCCTCATAGTACGTTTAAAATACTTTTAATGCGGTCAACATACCACCCGCGATTTGTTTTGCGGAAATGTCAACTAGAAGGCCTACTGATTGAGGAATAACATACCGCGAAATCTGTAGTTTGGCCGTTTTTGAGAAAATGCTATTTTTTGCTTTTTTGGCGGGAATTTCGGGTCGAGGTGCTGAAAAAGTCAAGTTAGGCTGTTTTTATGGCTTGTAAATGCATATCCCATTTATTCGTAGTGAATCAAGTGCCAGTAGATAGCTATTCGTGCATATTGTCCAAAATATATATCCTTAAATCCACGACTTTCGAGTTTTTGGGGGGGTTAGTCAAGGAGAAACCCGAAAAAAAGAGGGTTAACCCAGAACAAATTGCTTAACAAACTTTTCCTATGTAAACGTCTTCAGTAGGTCCTATTTAACAACATACCAATAGTTTATCACGGTTCGATCCCAGAACACCCCCCCCCCATTGCCTAAATTTCAAAATGGTGGCCATAATAAGGACTCTGGGAGTTCGATTTTTTTAAAATACGCATACAGTGTCATGTGAGGTGTCAATTCCTTTGTAATATTGGTCATAGATTTCAGATATGAAGTTAAAAAAGTCCCTCGATCAAAGGGAGTACCGCAAATCCAAGATGGCAGCTAATTTTGAGAGGCAAGAGGGTAGATTTTTAAAAAGTTCGCGTGAGAAGGCAAAAGAGGTATCATTTCCTATGTAATTTTGGTCGTAGCTTTCATTTACGAAGTCATACAAGCCCTCAAGTCAATCGGATTGCTCCAAATGCCAAGATGGCTGCCAAATTTGAAAGGCAGGAGGGTGAATTTTTGAAATATTCACGTGACCATCCCTAGTAAAAGTGAATCAACCTGACGTCAGGCTATGTTTCATGAACTACCCTGAGTCAGACTGATTCCAGTCTGACTCAGGGTAGTTCATCTTCAGGGTTCGACTTGAGTCAGACTGATTCCAGTTTGACTTGAGGGCTTTTGTGACTTCGTAAATGAAAGCTACGACCAAAATTACATAGGAAATGATACCTCACTTGCCTTATCACGCGAACTTTTTAAAAATCCACCCTCTTGTCTCTCAAAATTGGCTGCCATCTTGGATTTGGGGTACCCCCTTTGATCGGGGGACTTTTTTAACTTCATATCTGAAATCTATGACCAATATTACATAGGAATTTGATACCTCACATGACACTGTATGCGTATTTTAAAAAAAATCGAACTCCCAGAGGCCTTATTATGGCCGCCATGTTGAAATTCAGGCAATGGGGGGGGGGTGTTCTGGGATCGAACCGTGATAAACGTATGTTGTTAAATAGGACCTACTGAAGACGCTTACATAGGAAAAGTTTGCTAAGGAATTTGTTCTGGGTTAACCCTCTTTTTTTCGGGTTTCTCCTTGACTAACCCCCCAAAAACTCGAAAGTCGTGGATTTATGGATATGTATTTTGGACAATATGCACAAATAGCTATCTACTGGCACTTGATTCACTACGAATAAATGGGATATGCATTTACGAGCCACAAAAACAGCCTGACTTGTCTTTTTCAGCACCTTGACCCGAAATTCTCGCCAAAAAAGCGAAAAATAGCATTTTCTCAAAAACGGCCAAACTACAGATTTCGTGGTATGTTGTTCCTCAATCAGTAAGCCTTCTAGTTGACATTTCCGCAAAAAAAATCGCGGGTGGTACGTTGACCGCATTAAAAGTGTTTAAAACGTACTGCGCCCTCTTATGTTTAAGCATCCCTCTTTTTAAGGTGGTCGATTCCTTGATTAAACTGATTTCAACTGAAGGCTGCAACTGCACTCAGGACAATGTTATATTTTATGCAGCTTTGTTATCAGATAGCTGTGACTATGGCTCAGGTATACCCAGTAGCATCTTAGCCAATAGGTCTCCACATTTACTTGATCAAAAAACAGCATAGACTTGTAACAGGAGACTTTTATGTGAACTTCTAGAAGTGAGCTTGGGTATAGATAGCCATATGAAGACTTCGGATTTTTGCCTTTTTTCCAAATTTTAATAAATAAATTTCTTGTGTATTGATTGATATATTGGACGAAAGATTTTTTCTGGACGGTCCCAAGTGTCTTTTGCAAGAGATTTGCGTTAGTTTCCATATACCATCTATTTGTAACCAAATCATATGAATGTGACTAGGGCAAATCCAAAGCTTCAGAGGCGAAGCCTCTTTCCCCCTATTTTTTTAACTATTCTAAAAAAATCAAATTTTGTCGTAAAATTAATTTTTCAACACTATCCTGAGCTAACCGCTCCTTAAACTCAGGTTCGGTGACTTCTTGAGATGGTTTGTTTAAGAGGCATTCATTTTCAATAGTTAGACTATACCTGGAAAAAAACTACCGTCTATCGAAGTGTCTTTCAATTTATCTTCATTGATGGTCTCTTGCGTTTACTAAAGTTATTTCATGATCTGTTATCAGACATAAATGATGTGAAACATGTAATTAACTACGATTTTCCTCTCAACACGGAAGACTATGTTCATAGAATTGGAAGAACTGCGCGATATCAAAAGCAAGGTACTGCGTTCACATTTTTTACTCCAAAAGAACGTAGTCAAGCAGGAGCTCTCATAAAAATATTAGAGGAAGCAAAACAGACCGTCAGACCTGAGCTGAAGTCTCTCTCAAAGAATGCAGGTTAGTACTTAATTTTGTTATTTTCTGATGAGAACGTATATTTCACTCAGTTCCTCTCATCAACCGTCTGTCTCCAGGGATATAGCTTTATGCATTTTTTCGTAATTTTTTTGCAGTCAGATATTATCTCCCTCCCTCTGGCAATCTTTGTAAGGACATTCCTAAAAACAAGCAGCAATCTTGCATGTTGAAAATCTGCAAAGGTACTGTTTCCCCCCTTATGGATTATGGGACTATATTCATCACTTTACTGATTTTGTATGATGTTGACTGGCGCATGGCTGTTGGCACCATGGCTTGTTTAAGTTCACCCTAATCAATTTTTGGAGTCGAGAATTTCCCCTCTTTTTTTCTCCCCCACCCCCCTTTTCCTCACTTCCCAAACTTCTCCAGAAGGTTCTAAAATTGTTGATTACTCTTTGAATGATTCATTCATCTTTCCAACTTGTAATTTGAGGCACTTTTGATGGTTCCGCCTCAAGAAGTAATGCGTTCAAAAATTATGGGGGAGGAGGGAGGGGCTGGACCATCGTGGCCCCTACCAAATCTGACACATTCTGTCGATTTTATAGACCCTCAATCGCTAAGCAGTAGTAGCGCTCTCGATGTACTGAGAGCCACTAAGCTCCCAGACATTCAGGGCTCTTTACCTCCTCACCTTATTGTCAAGTTACTATGTTCATAATCTCTCTGTATTTGATACACTGCTCTCATGCTTTCTTTTCTACTTTTCTTTTTCCAGCGGTTGAGAATAGTTAAATATGGATAGACTGTTTATACATAAATATGAAGAAAATTTGGGTTTGAATTCAATTTATTTCTGTAAGTTTTACCCCAAGTTCCAAATGAAATATGAAGAAAGATATTTTGCAAACATACAGAGTGTCTAGCGACCGAGAAAGTCAGGGAGATGAAATTGGTCAGGGAGAAGTCTGGGAAAGTCAGGGAAGAAGAACGCAAAACCGGGAGAGATGCGAACTCCCGTCGAAGATCGCGATTTTTCACGTTTCGCGAAAAATTCTCGTTTTTAAAATTACAGCTCCGTAGCGCTATTCTAGAGGCCCACTGAGCGGCCGACCGGCCGCTCAGTGGTCCTGTACGTTGCTGCAATTTTAAAAACGTGAATTTCTGGAGGTACCTGTAATTTCTGAACTCAGCGACCCTCAAGAGTCCCTAATAATGCATTCTGCTCAGTTTGAACATTCGATCTGATTTAATAACAGTCAAATCCGATTTTTTTGCGCGCGAAAATCGGTCGGCGCGCGTTGAGCGGAAACTTCAATCGATCATAACTCCGGAACCGTTCGGTTCCCCGGTTTATATGACCACTCGTTGGATGCGGAAAAAGACGAGCAATTTGAAAAACTGGTTTTGGTTCAAATACAAAATTGTGCTCTTTCAGTTATGTGTGTTTAAAAGAAATTGTTTTTCCTCAAAAACTGACAAAAAGCACATAAGTTAAGTTAAAAATGTAATTTTGGGATTTTGACCTTTAGAATCTCAAAGTATGCAATTTTAGACGATTTTTCGTCCAAACCGGGCCTCAATATCTTGTTTCGTTCGAAAGATATCGAGGTTCACAGGTTTTGACTCCCCCCCCCCCCCCTAGCGCCCCCCAAAATTTTTTGGGTATTTGAAAATTTGGGGAAAGAAGCGCTCCAGTTTTAGTAACTGATAGACGAAAATTGAATAAGTATTAGTGGGGGGGGTGAAAAATGTCGTTTTTGCATACGGCTCTTTCTATAAGGTTTTTTGAAGGAATAAGCAAAGATCTTCCAAAGCATTACTATTAAGTACAAATTATGCTGTAATAGTGGAAGAAGGAAAGGAATCTTTTTTACGAGAGTTTATGTTGACACCCAAGGACTGCAGAAAGGTTTTTATTCTTGAATTGTAATCCATTGCTTTGAAGGGTGGAAAACATCGTACAGACTGAAAGCAAATCTTGGTAAAAGGTCATAGAAAGTCAGGGAGCAAGAAAATTCGATAGGACAGGGAAAACCTTGAAAGTCAGGGAGAAGAAAAGAAAAATTTGCTTGACACCCTGAAACAAGCATTGCAACAGAAAAAGCACCACACAGTTTTAGTCAAGAAGTCAACAAACTGATGTTACTTTTCTAGGACTGTGTTTATTTTTTGTTATTATTAATGCAAATGAAAGAAAAACTAATGGATTGTAAAAATATGTCAACAAATTGTGTTTCTTTGTGACGCCAAAAGTTCTACAATGGGAACATTTTAATAATTGTAAAATAACAGCCAAATTACCCTAAAACTCGTTAAGATGAAACATGAAGGGGCCGTGGAAAATTTTGACCCATGCAATTTTTTGTTTTAACCATTTCTACACTTAACACGAAATTCTAAGTGAATTTTAGACATAGGTGGCGACTGTGCTTATCATGAAATTATGGAAAAACTATGGCACAGGCTACAACTATCTAGAGCACTGCTCTCGAAATTCATAAACAAGGTAAAGGTTAAGTGCACTGGGATGATTAGCATTCAGTAGTTGAACTGAGGTTGAAGTTTAGTGAGTCATTAAACACAATTTCAAAAAACAAAGACAAGATTAGGGAACCCAGTGTTAACTGCAATGCAATATACAAGAATGTAAAAGAATCATATCATCCTGACTTACAATTAGGAAAAACTTCATGCACGTGTTTTTTTCGAGTGCGTTCTTATAATATTTGGATAAGAGATCCTTTGATGAAAGAGCAAGCTCTTGAAGTAGCAAAAAGGTTATAACTTCAAAAAGAACCCCGCACTATCCTTATGGGAAATCCCCCCCCCCCCCAGTAAAACCTGATGAGACTTCGATATGTTACTCAGCTAGTCATTCTGATCAAAAGCTCTCACGACCCCAAAGAGATCCCATGTGCGGTCTTATCACCACTCAGATAAGACCACCCGGGCCTGTGCCGATGAGCAAAGCCTCGTGAGCGTCGGAGTCCGAGCCTCAGGTATGGGTGGCAGAGAAGCGGAGAGAGGTCGGAGTGGACTGGAAGGGAAGGGTACGAGTAGTGCCGCACAATGGTCCGGCCGGCGGGACCTCCGGTCTCGCACATAAAGCGGCGAATATCTCGAAACCGCACAGGGGATCTTTTTGGGGCCATGAGAGCTTTTGATCAAAATGACTAGCTGAGCAACATATCAAAGTCTCATCAAGTTTTACCGGGGGGGGGGGGGGATTTCCCATTAGGATGTTGCGGGGTTATTTGTTGCTTCTGACGGCTAGCTTGCCCAGTCAACCATCAACTCTTTCTTCAAGTAAAACAAGGTATGCACGCCACAATCACTCTAATTTCTAATGATTTTTTTGTAAAACAATCATTCGACAAGTCTCGTATTTTACTAATATCCAGATCCAAACCTGAAAATTTTTCTTCGTCATAACCATATTTTTTTACATTGTTTTATATGGGAGCGTGAAGAGACCTAAGAAAATTTCGAGTTCAGCGGACATTTGCCTTAACTGTAAAGTCGTTTTAACGAGCTTTTACTGTAAAAGTTTAAAATTAAAGAAACGCAGGTTGATATTATGCAATCACTCCTAAATCCGTACAACGATTATTATACAAACACTTTGAATTTTTGTAGAAAAAGACAAACCTATTCCAAGATTCGTGAGAAACCGAAACAAATACTATCAATTGTAGGGCCTTGTCTCCACGAGCCGTTTCGCGAGATTTGTCCCAGGGAAAAATCCCACTCACGAAGTTGGGAAAAATATTGAGTTAATCAATATTTTTCCCAGTACCAAGTATGGTACTTGTACCCCTAGGACCCACTGAGAGAAGAAGAAGAAGTGAAAACGAATGGTGCCGTGGAGACAAGGCCTAGCTGAGTCCTGTTGTCGCTTTTTTTTACCCCAAAATATCTATTTTCTCAAGTGCTGAATCAAAATCAAACCATTACTGTCTGATTTTAGGTGAAAATATCAACAGTGGCTGTGAGGAAAGGTTTGGAAGTCGCTCATTCTTCAGCATAGGAGAATAACAACGCAGGCAGCCCTTAAAATAAAGATTTCAGTGATAGTCAAAACTGTGATACTGGTGTATGAGAAGTCTTAAAGTACTTCGGGAGCGGATATATTCAACAGGATTGCCACAGTCAGGGAATACTGGAAGAACCGTGGAATGTCAGGAAATTTCAAAAAGTCAGGGAAAACATGGAAATGTCAGGGAAAGTGTCGAAAGTGTTAGGGAAAAATTTTTAATTCTTCTTTATTCGCTTTCTAGAATGAATTTGACGCCCAGTACAAAAAATATTGCCTGGAAACAATTTCAAATTATGTATTTTTAGCCACATGGCATATCTACAATTGTCAGGGAATTTTACTCAAATGTGTCTGGAAAATCAAGGAATTTCATTTTCTAAATTGTGTGGCAACCCTTATTCAAATCCAACAATGATCGATTGTGGATAAACTTATACTTTCGTTGCTTTTGCATATTAGTAAAGACATGGTGTGCTACATCGCTACATCATGATCAAATGACCAGGTGTGAGGTCAAGTTTACACAGTTGCCATATTTGGCATACTATAACACACCTCATTAATTGAGGATAGGAGTGAGAGCGTAGATTTAAAAGAACATATGTTAGCGGACAAACCCGATTTTAGGACAAACTAGAATTTCCTAGGACAAACTCGTTTGCCGGAAGAAATCTTGTTCGGCCTAAGCACCTAGGATAAAGTAGTTTGGCCTAGGCCGGAACTAGTTTGTCCAGAGCAATTTAGTATAAACTAGTTTGTCCTAGGCCAGAGTAGTTTGTCCTAGGTGCTTTAGGAAAAATCTAGAGTTATAATTTTATTTTTTTCAATATGGTTAGACGGGGTAAAGTAAGGAAATGATAGGAAGATTATTTTAAATTCTTCAATGTAAATTTATTGCTTTAATTTTTAGTTTATCCCTATTGTTTTGTACATTTTAATGAGTTACTTTAAATATTCTTGATATTTGATTTTTAAGTTTGATCATCAGCAGCTTTTCTTCGTCAATAGTAGCAGCATCTATCTCAGCACCTGGAAAAAAAAATACGAAAAATGAAAGGCACAATGTCTAATATAATTCATCTAAGAATAATGTGTCCTCAATTGGCTTGACTTTTCAATTAGAGCCCCCCCCCTCCCCCTCCCCAGCCCCAGATAGTGAAACTCACCTATTTATTGTTGCATAATAAGCTGCTGTGACATTTTGAATTGCAGAGAATTCCTTGCCTCCGGCACTATCATGTGATTGTTTGGAAGAAAACTTCACGTTTTAACGACTTCGCACGTAAAAAAGCATTGCACGACACGACTATACATTCATAACGACTAAATTTATAAATGAAAGAAAGTAATTAAATTGAATACGGCATTAATAACAACACAAAGTAATGTCGCGAATGAACATTAACGTGCTCCTTATCACTGCTCAGCATGGACTGGTGATCACTGCTCAGCATGGACTGGTGATCACTGCTCAGCGTGGACTGGTGTTTTGATTGAGACTCTTATCGAAAGTTAATTCGATAGATAAGTACCAATTTCTGCGATAGAATCGATAGCCGAACGTTTCTTCAAAATCCTAGGCCGGACTAGTTCCACCTAGGCCAAACTAGCTCGTCCGAACGGGTTCGGCCTAAGCCGGAACTAGTTTTGCCTACGTGTTTTTGGAAAAACTAGTTCGGCCGAGGCCCAAACTAGTTTCGCCTACGTGCTGTAGGATAAACTAATTTGGCCTAGGAAATTCTAGTAGGGCCCGCGGTAACTAGGCCAAACTAGTTCGTCCTAGGAAATTCTAGTTTGTCCTGAAATCGGGTTTGTCCGCTAACACATGTGTTTATACTCGGCTCCTTAAATTGTCAATGCATGTTCAGAAGGATATTTTACAAAGTAACAAGTTTACATTTTTATGAAGTATACATCAATAAAGGTAATATTCATTAAGTCCATGCAATTTTTTCAAAAGAATGCCGTTTCCTCCAAAAAGGAATGCCATACGAATGGAAAAATCTAGAGCAGCGTATTTCGCACTCATTTGTTCTGTACTTCCTAAAAACTTAGGTTGTTTAGATATATGGGACTTTTTGTGAGAAGTTGCTAATTTCTTAGGTTGAGAGATTCTCGAAATTTAGAAACTAAGTTTTTCCAAAAAATTTAGTGAAAATGTCAGCTATTTGATCTCTTGATATTTTATGGATTTTAATTAATCTTTTTTGGCATAGTCTTGTACAAAATGAGTAGCTACATCAATACATTTAGAGTTTTAACAAATTTACTTTTATTGTCTAATTCAATAGCACCTGTTTTGTCCTTGTAAATGTTAGTTGAAATGCTTTTAATATATAATTCAGACAGGAGTCCTTGGATTGGTAATATTTCGGTTACTTCTTCAGCTGCTGCATGCCTAATATTCTGTGTGTGCGTGTATTTGCTCTTGAGACAATTTTTCATTTTGTGTTTTCCACAAAATGGGATTTCCAAACATATGAATTCCTGAGGTTGATTCTCTATCGATTGCCTAATCGATTGCTATCGATTGCTCTGCCTAATCTGCATTGACGTAGATATCTAGAGTGACAGTATTATTCGAGTTATAATGTATTTTATTGTTTTGTTTCCTATGAAGGTATTGTCGTATTCTTTAAGCATATTCAAAGTGTACTTTAAAGTAGGCATTTTGCAAACTGCTTAAGTAAATAACAGAAAAGGTGATACCCATCTGGATTCACTAGATATGTATAATAGAGCACCAATTAGATTTTGGTAAAGTAAAGAACCCCGCACAGAGCATGGGGTCAGCGGCTCTCGATGAAACATTAATAGATTGATATAAAGTTCATAATTAAGGGATTGCCAAAAAATTAGCTCAATTTTGCAAGTAGAAGCCGAGATATTCGCGATTGAACCCGGACTATTTTCTGTGCGGCGGAGGTAAATTATCCGTGTCACCTTACCTTGCTTGAGCACTTCGGCCAGGAAACCCCCTCACCCCATCAGGTAACTACGATGTCGCTTTGTTTACACTCACTCCTCTCATTAGGACGCTCCGTTCGGGCTGTGCGATATGGAGTTCCCTGCTTCTCGCACCTCTCCCGTGCCGGCGCCGCCGGCCGGTTTGATCTGAAATGTAGTTGCTGAAACAGAATTAACAGATGCGGGTAGAGGGAGGGAGTACGGCATTCGCACCGGCCGAGCGCATAAGCACCTATCTTTACGTGAGTGACGTGAGATCTGATCGAGAACGCCGAACAACGAGAGGAGAAGGACTCGGAATTCTTTCGCCATGCTGCGGCAGTGCGGCATGATAGAAAATAGTCCGGATTCAATTGCGAATATCCCGGTTTCTACTCGCAAAAATGAGCTAATTTTTTGGCTTTCCCTTAATTATGAACTTTATATCAATCTATTAAAGTTTCATCGAGAGCCGCTGACCCCATGCTCTGTGCGGGGTTCTCTTCAAACTCGTCATTTTCAGCTGATAACAATTTCAAGTTTATTTCCATGGGGATTTTATATGTTTTTGAACCGGTGATGTTGTACAGTTGCACCAGACTGACTACATGTCTGAACAAAATGGAGTTTGGGTTGTACTGTTGTTTGCGGGCTTCATCGAGAGTGTTGCTTTGGGGAGTGGTGTTGGTGTTGGAGGCTCTAACAGTGCCGGAAAGGTGCTCTCTTCCAAGGTCTCGTCTCGAGGTTTGTCTGCAAGGGTTGTTTTGGTGCGTTGCAGGGTGTTTGGTGTTGGAGGCTGCAACGGTGCCGGAAAGGTGCTTTCTTCTTCGACGAGGCTCTGGAAGTCCGGGTATTCATTGAAGTCGTATTCGGTCCTGGTTAGTTTGCAGTAGAGGAGGTCGTTCATTTTTCTATTTTGTCCAGATGAGGAAAGGAGAGACACCAGGAGATGCACGCACTAGGTCACTGGATTTTGAACTGAAACTGACCTGATTTTGGATCAGCCGTGTGTTTCTGGTGTAGTTGTCAGCGAAATAGGAGCATGATGCTGGTTGTACAAGCGGGATCGTTATTTCTGCGAAAAATAGTTTTCCGTAACCCGCCGTACATGACTCAGTTGACCACAGGAGATT